AAGAGAAATTGGCTAAGAGCGGAGGGCCCCCCACCCTGGCGCGCGTGAGGGTGTGTGGCCTTAACCCCCGAAAATCCCCCCCCGAGGGGTGGGGGCGGGGGAATTCTGGGAGTTGAAGTCCACACATCTTCACGCGGCCAAGGTTGAGGAACACTGCTCTATCAGCAATTTCCTCTAGGACTTCAAAGCAACATACATAGTCCTCCCTCTTCCTGTTTCCCCCACAACAACCCTATAAGGTAGGCAGGGCGGACAGAGGGTGAGTGAATCAACATCCCCGGGGAGTTTCCAAGAATGGGGGGCAGATCAGAAACTGGTCTTCCAGGCTTAATCCAAGCCCTTAATCCAGTAGGAACACCATCACTGTTTGTTGCTGGCAAAGCAAGAACGAATTTTTAATGCCGCCCCTGCGTTGCCCACACGAGCAACGGGCAGCTGCAGTATTGCGAAGTTTGCAAACGGATTCCTCCAACCTGGATTTCCTTTTCTCCCAGCGGAGAGAAATAGTTAGAGAATTGGGGTAATTATGCATACACCTTGCATAAATAAATAAATGCCTTGCTTAAGTCAATAAAAATAATTTTAACTGCTGTTTTGTTATTATTCGTTAATTTTTATTGCGGTTGGATCGCACCTGGGTGGGGACATTATAAATAAAACATTTTAGGTGTGGTTTGTAAAACCAAGTGAGAGGGCCCTGGAAGAATTCTCTCTTTTGCTGTGTAATTTGCAGTCATGAATCTTGCTTAGTCATAATCTCGGGTTTTTTGCTTGGTTATAGGTTAGTGCGATGCTCTATTCCAGCCACCGGGTATGTAAATCTTGGTTTCGTATATTGTGTCACCCTAACCAGTTGTGGTTTAGACACTAAACCATGGATCAAGACCCATGAGTTAGCACAAAGAGATCTTAGTCCTTTATCCTAAATCACAAGCCTGCTGCAAGTAAAAAACTAGGGATTGGTATCTTAGATCCATGGAAGAAGATTCTCCCCAAAATGCAAAATCAACTTCCTAATCAAGCTACTTGCAGAAAACCATGTACGCTTCATAAATCACAATTTGACCACCAAAGGAACAACTTTAACAGTCTTAAACTCTTAAATAATAGCGTTGCAACAAAGAAAAAAAAGCATTTTTTTTAAAAAAAGATGGAACATGAGAAAATCGTCGTGTGCTGTAAAGCAAAAAGCAGCAGGAGCGGGTGCAGAAGAGGAAAAATACAGATTTGGTGTGTTAATTTCAAAAATAGAGATTCACGCAGCGGAAAAAAATGTCATTTAGACACAGTGCTCTATTTTTTTGACTGTAGATGCTTCAGAGTTAATCCACATCAAACATCGCTAGTAAATGAGGGCTTAGCATGCGAACATACCTGGTGGCTGCAATTGGGCATTATGCGAAGTCATGGTTTATTTTAGATATAGTTTCTTCAACAAACCATAATTCCTGGATCACACATCACACTAAGCCGAAAACAAAGAAATCATGGCGAGGTCAACTAGGAGGTGACCCTGCCATAGAGAGACAAATTGCAGAACAGCTAGGTTCACATAACACATTTAACCCAGTTACTAAACTAACCCATTTTCTGCGTTCACACAATACGTTGAACCGTAAATTCACCCATTGAGCTGAGGTGCAGAATATGCTGAGCGAGAAAAAAAAAATTAACCAAGGGAAACACTAATCAATCCATTTGCTAAGTCTTTACTTGACCTGGCGAAGCATGTTGTGTGAATGCAGCCAAGCTGTAACTCGCATGTCAACTTGTTACTAAATCTGAGGAAACTTCACTTCCAGGGAAACCTGTCCAGAAATTTTGCAGTCTTTCACCTGAACTGGCGCAAAGTTGCTTCCAGTCTTAAGATTTAAAGAAACCCATTCCACCCGCTCCAAAAGTGGAAGATCCCAAATTCAAAGCCAGAATCTTCAGGGAGGGGTAGGAAAAAGATCTGTCAGTGCGGACAGCACTGAGGTCGATGACTGGCGAATTAATCAAAGCTTTCTCTCTCTTCTTCCATAGCAGTGGGAACAGGATTTCCCCTCTGTTTTTGCTGCAGTAACTGGAGCAAACGAGAAAGCAAGGGAAAATCCCTTCTTAGCTGGAGAGATTCCGCTACTCAGAGTAGACAGCCCAACAGAGCGGGTGTCCACATTACCTTTGGCCCAGAAGTGGTCCTCTTTGGTTTCGGCATTAGATGCAGTGGGAACTGTCAGCCTTCCCAGGTAGACCAGACAGGAAACCCAACCAGATGAGCTAATTCTACTTTATTGTAACGCTATGCGAACAGAATTTTGCAAGTCTGAAAGTACAAATCTCCCGCTGTCTCTTTTTGCAGCCTGATAAGTTAAGGAGGTTCCTTTCTGAATTTTTTCCCGTGTCCGTTATGCAGCTGCGGGCTATGCCCTCTCTTATCTGACCATTCCCTACGCAGCATCTCTTCACCCCGTCTCCCAAGGTCATTCCCACATACCATCACAGGAACCCCTCTGTTCTGCAATATCAGTCTTGGTTCATGGTCTTAGCCTATGGGGTAACCCAGCCCAGTGTGGCTTGCCAGGCAAATCAGGATAAAGCCAATCATGGTCTAGGACAAAGTGCGAACACAGCTCCTCTCTGGACATCTGGCCGCTTGCTATCTCATGATCTTAAGAGCAGGAGAGAGGGAATAAAAAGAGACTTGCAAAGGAGGATGGCGAATGTGGAATGACTGAATGGGGAGAAGATGGAGAAGGGAAATATTTAAAAATATATATTTTTTCCTCCGTTTCTCCCCCCAGACTAACCTGCTCGGAATGAATCCACCAGTGCAGCTCAGTGCGGGGATGTGATTCACCTCATAACTCTCTCAAGGTTCATGTGTGATGATCAAAACGGCTGGGTTGTGCCTTAAACCAGAGTCTGGTATGTGTGTGTGTGTGTGTGAGAGAGAGAGAGAGCGTGCGCGTGTGTGCGTGTGTGTTGTTTTTTCCTTTTTCCTTGTTAAAAATAAAAAGGGGGTATGCACTTATACCTAACAAACAAGAGGAAGGAGATATTGCTACACCCTTAGCTGAAAAACCACAGGACGGACCCACCCAAGAAGTGGTTGACGGAGTGTCAAAAAATTCAAAAACAGCTATTTTACCTTCAAGTCCAACCCCACTCTACCACCTAGCATGTCAAGTTGGCCTACTTCATCAGGGATGAATCAACAACTGCCCTATCTTTTCAATTTCAGACGCACACACGCACCCAAAGAACTTAACAATTAATCCAAAGAATGAGTTTCAAAACGTGAACTGTATGTTCCTCAGGGCAAAGGACTTTTTGTCCTTTGTAAAGCACTTATGGACATAGAGGGTGCTGTAACAATGGTTGCTACACACTGTTTCTCCTATTTATTTCTCCCTCTGCTTCCTTCTGCTTCTCCACTGCTTCCTCTGCTCTCCCCACTGTTGGGTGGGGTCCTGCTAGGCTGGGTCTGGCCGCTTGTCTTCTGCAGACCCAAGCTGGACATTCTCACTGGTGGAGCACCCAGCTCCCAGGTTCATTTTCAGCCTTGCCAAGCTGAAGGGATCCGTTCAAGGTGGTGAGAAAGGGGACCGGGTTCCCCAAAATGTGGTCTAGGGGCTACTTTAAGCCCTCCAGTCTTCCCTTTTGGGTGGGTGAGACCAAACATTGGGTGAGACCAAACATGGTACCCTTTTTGCACTTTGGGGGGTTCTTAAGAAGGCAAGAACTGAAGCCCCCCAACTTCAAGAGGCTTCTCTAGTTATCAGACTTGGTTCAACCCCCTGGCTACCTGTCTGGATGAGATATCTGACCAGGGGTAGCTGTTGCACCCCCAAAGAGTGTCTAAGGCTCTAAATAACCACCTCTGGTTGACTTGGGCAGGTCAGCTGCCCAGCGTAGAGAGGGTTTTCCATGGTTAGAGAGTGGTGCAAACAAGGCCACTGAGCCTCAAGGCAACTAAATTGGGGGAGAGGGCGGGTGTGCACACAACACACTCAGGTCCCAAATGTTGTGGTGCCAAGGACCCACTAAACTGAGAAGTGACATGGGGTGAACGTTCCCCATGGATAACAGTCATGATTTGACTGGGGCTAGAGTTATTTCTAGAGTTATCAAGAAATAAACAACAGACTTGTAATGATTAAATGGCAATCTACATATCAATTACAACTCAGTTTGGACCCTGCAACTTAATGAAATCAAAGCTTTTCATTGACAATAAGCCCTCGATCCATCACATCTGAAACCACTTCACGGGAAGGATGATCTTGCTGAGTTTGGTGCGATTTCTCAAATCTGGGTTTTGTTTTCGAGTCACTCTCACTTCTCCTTCAACATTTGTTTTGGAACTAGATGTGCTCTTTGTAATAGCAATTGCAGAAAATCTCAGCTTGTCCACACAGAGCAAGAGAGAATTCTAACCACGAACCCTCTTTGGATTCACAGGCCACGATGGGGAGGGTTGAGCCCACAAAACCTGTACTGTGGCTTGTTCAGGAGAGCAGGAACACGTGAGAGGGCACCCTGGCCTGCATGTCCAAGCTCTCCAAATATGGTGACCCCCCTCAAATTTGCTTGCAACCCTCCCAGAGGGTCACAGCCCACACTTTAAGAAACCCTAGTGCCGCACACCTCACACCCACAGGTATCATGATGAATATTATCCAAGGTTAGCATACTTATTGTGACCATACTGTATGTCTATTATAAAGGACCGACCTTTATTTCAGAAAGTCCTTTAGATTTATTTATGGGGGGGGGGGGGTTTAAACTGTGGCACATCCAGATCCTGAACTCCCAGAGCGATCTCTTTGAGTATGTCAGAATGTGGTAACCAGGAATAATCACATTAATGAACGAGTCACATCTCCACATGGTAGAAGTCAATGTATTTGTCACGGGCATATCACGCCAGTCAGCATACGGCCACAGTGTAGTGGTGACATGTGATTTTATGCTGGGTGTTTGTGTGTGAATGGCTGTGTCTGGAAGATGGAGTACGGGAGATCCATCGAAAGACAACACACACACACACACCCAGCAAAATAGAGAACCTTTGTTCCAGAAGATTTTAGCTTATGCAACCCATGGAGAAGTATGAGAATGAGAATGACAAGATGATCACAAAGGATAGTGTCCCCAACACCAGATAACTGCCACGTGAACTGAATGAGATTGGGATATTCTAACGGAAAAGGTCAAGACGGTATGTGTAGAGGGCGAAATGGTACCAATTAAGCCTTGTGGGATGTTATAACGATGTCCGAAACCAGTAATCCGGGCACCCTGAATGAGGTCCTGTGGGCAGTGAGCATCTCGCCTCAGTTCTTCTGGAGCTCTAACCTAGTCTAGCCAGCTAGACTTCGAGGTGAACAGGTCTACCTGGGCCTGTGTAAATAAATGTGTGAATGAAGAGAGATCTTGGATCAGGAGTGAACAATCACAAGTTGTAAACCTGCCTTTGTTTCTATGTGTCTGGATAAAAAGGACAAGTCACCCTGGAGATGTTTTCCAGCTCTCAGTGTGGAAAGGAGATATTTTTGCAGGCACATTCAAACCTTTGTGGTACATTAAAGGTGCTGGTACATCTTTAAGTGTGCGTGGAGATCCCAAATGCCATCTCTGCCACATTTAAGTGGCAGGTCCAGTCTCTTCCTTTGCCGATGCTTCACCACCAGAGGTGTGAGTGATAGTTATGAACTGATTCCAGGCCGGGGTGTTCCTTCCCTGGAAAGGAATGGAGAGACATCCCTGGAGCTCTTTAGAGTTCTTTGATACAAACATATATTTGAATAAGGAGCAAACATATAGCACTTTTTGGCCCAAAGTCAGCCAATGAGCTTCCATGGCGGAAGATGGACTAGAACCCAGGTCTCCCCGCTCCTAGTCCAGCCCCTTCCCCACTACACCAGATTGGCTCTTGGGCTGAGTGGAAGGGACTGGCCCAATGTTGGTCAATTAACTTCCGTGGCTATGCATGGACTAGAACCTGAGTCTTCCCATTCTTCAACCACTACACCACACTGGCTCTCAGACAGTTCTGGCCAGCTTTCAAACCAGCAACCTTCTGTTTACAAGGTAACTGCTCTAACCCTTCTGCTGTCACAACATTCCTTGATCTCCTTTAACCCTCCCCCCCCCCCAAAAAAGTTGGATTACGAAAAAAAGTTGGATCGGCCAGGTATGTAATATGAAAGTCTCCATATTACAAACCAGGCCGATCTCTAAATGTGTCAGGAGTTGTTGTCTAGCAATATTTGGAGGGCTACGAGGGCCCAAATGAGAAGAGAGGTAGGTGGTCAGTGTTGCACCAACAGGAAGGAATGGTATTCTGTGTGTTTTGAACAGGATCCGATTTCACCTAAAGTAGAAACGGTTTTGCAGCTGGGGCAGTGTAGCTAATGTTGTGGGGAAGGAGAGAAAGTTGCAACGGCAGGATTTGCCTGTGGTGAGGCTGAAATTCAGTGCTCCCCCCCTCAAGGTTTTGGGTTTGTTTTTTTGGTGGATTTCTGTTTAAATTGGTACTACACCATTGTATGTACAACTCTAGGTCTGACACATAGAATATACCCTGGAATTTTTCTTCCCCAGAATGTACTGGGTGCTCCAGGGTGGTTCCTATTTTCCCATTATCATCATCTTCATCATCATCAAAGTCAGCTTTTACAAGAGGTGGTTGGAAAGGAAAATCAGTGGTCCAATCCAGCATATTTTGCTTGTGGCTTTCTTGGAGAAGATCCTGAAAAATCTATGGTCAGATTTCTGCATGTGGCCACTAAATTCCATCAGCATAATTTGGGGATGGAGCTTGGAGGAAGGTCCTTACAGCTGTACAGCATCCATAAATCACCACACTTGACTTCTGTGGACTCAGTGCTCTGCAGCGGGTTTGCTGCTGAAAAGTTAAACACAGGCACTGACAAATCTTTTTATTCATAGGAAAGGATCTTCTTAGAATTACTCAATACATGATTACCGCAGCAAGACTTCTTTATGCACAATTTTGGAAAACCCAGACACTACCAACAATACAAGGATGGTTGTTAAAACTGATGGAAAAGGCAGAAAATGCTTAAACGACTTGGTTATTAAAAG